GGATACGGAATCGACATTATGTTTTCCTTTATTTGCAAACCCTCTCGGATTCCCATATTGGGAATTGCGTATTTCCATGTCTTCGATAACCTGTCCTGCGTCGTCCACATTTAAATTCATGAACCTCCCACTAGCTGCAGAATCTAGCACTGATCTAGAAGAATTTCCAAGTCCATTCACTACAACATAAACGAGCAAAAGCAACGGTCAAATGCAACGGTTAAATCTTACGCAACGATCTAATGCAACGGATAAATCTAATGCAACGAAATATTTTCCTATCATAACGATTTTAAAATAACCTATGCAACGTATTTTCGGCCTATTGCAACGGCTTTATAATGAACGTTTGCATTAGTTACTCCGTATAACTCATTAGCATGTGCCACGTCTTTGTATTCTCTCTCTCCTTTCTCATATCTCCTCTCTCATCTAATCTATCTCCTTCAGTCTTGCCTTCTCTTTCTCACATATAGATCTCTATATCATTCTTTACTATACCGTCGCCGCATCCGCCTCCGCCCCACTCTCTCTTTCCATTCTTCTCTAGATCTTTCTTTAATTTTTTTTAACTCTCTCATCGCAGCAGTACATGGGGAATCTACAACGACAACAATCATCGCTACCCTCCTACAACCAGCATCAATTTGAACTGAGGACAACCATCATCGTCGCCGCCGTATATGTCTTTAATCTACAATAATGAAGTTAGGGTTTCTGGGTGCGTTTAATCGATTCATTTCGATGTGTGTGCGTCTTCAACAACAACAAATTCAAAACTATTTGAACCAAAAATAAGAAATTTGAGGTTAGGTATCTGATTTATTTAGCTTTGCGTCAATTACTTCTAGAATTTTATTGCTTAATTACTTCTAGAATTGGTTAATTTTACACGAGAATCGTTTTTCAATTAATTCAAGTTTTTGTAGGGTTTTGGATTTCACTTTTTGATGGTTAATTTTTTGGTTGTATAATAATAGGTATAAAATTGAATTTTCTGAATAACATGAAGTTGGTATTTGGGAATTTCCATAGAGCTATTTTGATTGAGATTGAAAAATCCTAGAATTTGCACTAGCTACAAGAAATTAGGGTAAAGTTATACTTATGCAGTTTAATTTGTGTTGTATGCTTGAATTTGGATTCTTTTTTGCATGCTAGTATTTTGCTTAACTTTTAATTTTCACGGAATCTGTGTAAGACATTATGATGGGTTTTAAAAGGAATGTGATTGAATCATTGAGTAATTTTAATTTTTAAGGTTTCTATCTTTCAGTTACTTTTCTGATTTTTAAGGTTTTGTGATGGTTTCTAGTTGGGTGTACGTGCTTGAATTTTTTCTTTCAATCTTTAATTGTTTGTGTGCACCATTGTCAAATCTTTATGACGAGTTACTATTTTAGAGACTTAGAGTTAGACAATAGTTAATCTTCCTTGTTCTACATCTGTTTTTTCAAATATCTCTACATATCACGTTGTATTTTTAGTCAAGGGTACGTTGCAACAGCTTACTGGAACCAATTGGCCTAAGTTTATTGGCTTTAAACTTTTCTTATTTCTATTTAATTTAATATTTGTAAGGTGAAAAGAACAGAAATGCTTCTAATTTTATCTAAACTTATCAAAACTTATTTGAACTTATTGTAGTTGTGATTTGAATTTATAGATTTCTTATTTTCATGTTAGCCGACCCCACTTTTGGGATTAAGGCTTTGATTGATTGATTATTTTTTAATAAGGTACTTATTGGAACTAATTAGCCCTTATATAAATTTATTAGTTATTACTTATTAGTGGCTTTGATCTTTTCTTTTTTTAGATTTTTATAAGGTGACTAAACAGAATTGTATGGTTTGATGAGCGATGTTCCATATCCATTCTATTTAATGTACACCTTACATACCTTTCTTTGGCTGGTGTTCATACTTGATGACTTGTTTGGGTTGGAATGAGAATGAACACTAGTAGAAAAATCATGGTTTCATTTTCTTCTTTCTCTAGTGTCAGCAGGTACCTGGCTCTAGAGTATGCTAATTCAATTAAGTTATCCTACAATCTGTCTCCCATTTGGCTCTAGGGAGATTTTTGAGTAATGGAGTGTGTTGGAACAGAAGAATTATTGATATATACTACATACATGGTTTAGTCATATTCTGGAAATTATGGAATTTGTTTGAGCTAAATGGGGGGGGGGGGGCATTATGTAAGCACTGTTAGTAGTTTCTTTCTTTGCTCCACTTTGTAGACTGTTTCATGCATCTTTATGCACCTTGCCTATTCTGTCTTAGTTGTTGTTTTGGATGGTTTGATGAAATTAAATTATGCAAATTTGCTGTTTTTTTTTTTACTCTTTTAATGATCATGCATGCATAATTTTTTTTTCCTGATTTAATAATAGATCTCACATTAAAAATTGGTGATAATGTATTGTAGTATATAGTGATTTGTCCTTTTTGAGTTTTGATTAAAGGTTCACTTTTGTTATAATTGTTGACGTTATTTCTCAAAAAAAAAAAAAATAATAAATTGTGATTTCTATTTTGGTATAGAAGGTCTTTATATTTCTAATTACTTCTTATTTTGTGCTAATACCTTTAGTTGTGATTTTTTTGGTAAAATTTGGTTTCTGGATTTGTTGATCATTTGATATGCTGTCTAATAACTCGTTAACTCATTAAATGTCTCAATGTATGAACTTTTGTACCATGAAATCTTCATCTGAATTCATTTTTTTGGTAGTTTCCGATACTTAAAGTAACATTTGAGTGACATGTATATGCAGCCAAGAAGACTGACACACCAACATTCTCGGCAGGATCAACTACAGATCAACTCAAGCCACGATCCTCCCCTTTGCGAACATCCCAAATTTCCTGTCCCTTAACCAGCAGGAAAGGCAAGCATTTGAGACTATCCAATTCAACTGCTGCAGTTAAAACTAGGTGAACAAGAAGCACACCAATTCATGAGCTCCTCAATATTCTACCTTTCCTTGGGCACGGATGACTACATCAACTTCCTCTTTGGGTACTCATCGTTTTCCTCAAGTTACAATAATGGTGACGTGTTGACCAATGCCTTGAGAAACATGTATGATGTAGTGATGAGGAAGATTGTTACCATGGAAATTTACCCTCATTGATGCTGCTGCTCGTGCTTCTATGTTGCTGTTGGTCAGCTTCGATGCTGCTACTGTTCTGTAATTGAGATGCTCCTACTTTACTCATTGACTCATTGTAATAATGTTTTTTTGGATAAAAATGTAATATAACAAGCATTTATTAATATAAATATCTAAGTTTGTATTTATATATTGGTTTCTTATCAATTTTAGCGAAAAACAACAAATAAAATAATAATAATAATAATGATAATGATGATGCAACGGTTCTATAGGATGTTATGGGTGTTGCACTAGAACTAAAAGACCATTGCATTAGATCTGTTGCAACGGTCTATAGGAGTTTGAAAGAGCCATTGTATTAGGTTACATGGACCGTTGCATTAGGTTCTGATGCAACGGTTCATGGTTGATGGTATAGGACCGTTGCATTAGGTTAAATGAACCGTTGCATTACACCTAGTGCAATGGCTGCAAATGTAACGGTCCTCTAACCGTTGCAGTAGGTCTATTTCAACGGTTTTTGGCCCTATTGTAACGGTTTTTAGGGGTTGCATTTTCTCGTTTATGTAGTAGTGATTATAGAATGCTTGGATTAATTGCCATTGTGCTAGATTGTGGTGGGGGCATTCTCTCTATAGATCCTTGAACCTCTCCCAAGCCTCATATAACGTTTCGTTGGCCTCTTGAGCGAAGTTCTGAATAGCACTCCTTAGGACCGTTGTTCTCTCTTCAGGATAGTATTTATTATAGAAATTCAAAGCAAGAGTTTCCCAGTCAGTAATACCAAGTGCAGTTCTATTCAAGCCATTAAACCATAATTTAGCTTTGCCACATAATGAAAAAGAAAAAAGAATCTCCCTGATTTGGTCTTGCGTGACCCCGGCTTGTCTAATGGTATTACAATATTGACAGAAGTCTGCGATGTGAAGATTAGGATCTTCACCCTTAGCTCCACTGAATTGCTTCCTCTCTATCATAGTGATAAATTGGGGCTTGATCTCAAATTGAACTCCATCTAGAGCCGAAGTGGGAGTAAGGTGCGGGAAATCTGTGAGCTTCGGTTGTGAGTAGTCACTGAGTTTCTTCTGGGCCGTCATCTGAAGGAATATCTGTGTCACTAGAATCAGAGAGAGGATATCTTCGACTGTTGTCCTCAAAACCCGCCAGAATTTGTCTGTAGAGTTTCCTTTGCCTATGAAAAGAGCGCTCGATCTCAGGGTCGAATGGGATGTAACCTGATCTGGAACACCTGGGCATAAACAAAGAACTAAAGACAAATATGAGAATTGCCTCAAAGAACTAACGTTCTCTGAGGCAAAAAAGGGATAATCTAGACTACAAAAATATAATCAAAAAACAAAAATAAAATCGTTTCCCCGGCAACGGCGCCAAATTTTGACAGGAAAAAACGCTCGGACCAATGCCTTGTCGCGCCCGATCGTGCTAGAGGTTTCCCGATCGTGCCCTTGCTTCACTTTGAGGCTCGGACTTTGATTGGGCTTGATTTCTCGGCCCAATTCGGATTTCCTCTTCGGGTCTTGAATACTCGGTCCAAATCCTCGGGATCCCAATTACCGAGCCCTTAATCATCGACTCTCACCGCTCCTGGGCTTCAAAAGTGGTCGTGTCCTTCTAGCTTCCGTAGTTGATCCATAAAGCCCGGGAAAATGCTCCAAGAGTGCACTTTCCTGTAAAATACAACTAAAACTACGAAAACACTAGAAAACACAAATTAGAATAAAAGTGGCCCGAAAGAGCCAAAAACACTACTAATAACGACCAAGAGACGGGGGTAAAACATTATATAAAATGGACATATTATCCTTACTCCATGCTGTCAAATCATTCGCCACCTGCAGCAATTTGTTAGGCATACTTAAGTGACCCGAATCCTCCCAAGCCTTCCTGATGACATCCTCAACTCCATCCGCAAGCATCCAGCAAGTTTCAAATCGAAATCTCTTCTTCTTCCTATGAACATGAAGCCAAACTCATCCTTCCAATACACCACCTAATTTTATAATGGAGAAAGCCATAATCAGAACATATTATTTATTTTAATGCCCACATTAATTATCTTTAATCAAAATATAAAATAGCAAAAATCCTACAAAATCAGAAAAGCATAAGCAAATAAAGTAGCAGATCAAAATCCTCGGATATTGTTTGAAGCCACATGTACCCACACTGGAATTAACCTAAAAAATTAGTGTTGAGACTTGAGAGTAATAAATCATCTTAAAATACTTCTTATTACTACCATTTCCCTTAAAGAAACTCAAGACTAATCACATTTGCTCTTTGTCCTATTCCAGACAGTCACATCACCATGAAGATCACAATGTCAAAGCAATAGAAGATAAAAGCACTCAGTAGTACATTACAAGTATCCTTTAAGCTCTTTAATGATTAAAATCATTTGAAAATCCAGCAGATTATTCATGGAAATGAAGATTATTTCAATCAGCAAAAAGGCCTTTCTACATACTACACACAAAGACCAAGTCTGACCTTCTTGACAACATTCAGTACGCAAGGCCGGAGTTCTTCGGTTCGATAGGCTCCAACACCAAGATTGAGCTTCTTTTCATTCATATTCGCTTTAAAAGTTTCTGAAACACCTAAAATAGGGACTGCAGAAGCCATTGGTATACCATCAAAACGATAAACATTGACAATGGCAACCATGCTAACCCGACTGAAAGACTGCAATAGGAGGACCAAACACATAAAAACAATAAGCATACACTGAAGATTAAAACATTGTTTTAGGTAAAGCTCAACCAATAAAACCTTCCAATCCACCCATCTTCTTCCCCTAACCTAAAATGATTAGATTTATTGTTTATGGTAAAGTTCAGAATCATCCATGAACTTTGGCCATTGCTAACCAGTATCATTACACTCAAAGAAACAATTTCAGCATGAAATTAAGATAACGTGGTCCAATATGCATCATGATTCCCCCCCCCCCCTCTCTCTCTCTCTCTCTCTCTCTCTCCTCCTAAGAATTAAGTAAAGGATTCCCAGTGATTCAAATCCTAATTGTTGTGATAATGAGTCAACACTAACATGCTAAAGCTATATACAGATTACTGACCTCTATTCACACCTGATCAAATTTTTAACACAATGGAAGCCAGAGAAGTATCAAATGAACAAAGTAAACATCCCTTAGCTCATAAATCAGAGAGTAGAAGTCTTTCCACTTTCCTGTACTTATTTAAATTACCCCACTTCATCCTGAATAAAGAACCCTTCTCGTTGTTATTCTCACTACTTATAGTACCTCAATCGATATACAATAACGATTCGATAACTTCACATTCATTCTATTCATATTGAATTGCTCAACGCTTCCCCCAATAATCCCCATGCCTACCACAATTTATGTTGCTCGTCAAGATATTACTGATTAACTAATCTTTATATATACTACTTGCATCACAGTTAAAGAGGAAACATACAAAGTGCATAGATGAGTGATTATCAGAAGAATATTCGATTTCAACTGATCAAATAGAAGCCAAACCTGAAAATATACAAAATAAATCATTTTCACTTATTTGAATAATCTAAAGACCACGTATAATGGTAGAAGATATAGGAGTCTGCAGTATCACACTATCACATGCTCATATTCTTAAGCCTTAATAGTCACTTAGATGAGAACTCTCTAATATCAATTGACCACCAGAGATAAAACAGACAATCAAAACCTACATTTAGAACAATGCACCTAAGGTTCCAATGTAGCTAAATATAAAAAACTAACATCTCATTCAAATCAAGATATCAATCAAGTAAATGTTTCAGCAAAGGCAAAAGAGGATTCGTCCAGCTTGAGTATATTATTAACTAATTACCAAGATAGAGAAGTCATGCCTTGACATAGCTCACCAAGGGGAGAATGGCTAACATTGCTCTTGACAAAGGTCAGTTCTTCCTGTGTGCATCCAAAGACTGATGCTAGGTGATCCTCACTCTCAGACCAAATTCAATAATATCAACTTTGATATTATTCTAGTGTTCATGCTAGGTGATCCTCACAGCATATATTTGTTGGGTGGTCCAGTCTTGCTGAATTTGAGGTCAGTGACGGCAGCATTTTAAGGTTAGCACACGCATTTATAACTCTATGCTAGGTTAGTTTGATAATACTTTCAAATTTCAAATTTTGAAGCAACACAACTATATAAGTTTCCTCAACAGTGTACAAGAATTTGTTTTCTGTAGATTGTATGGTTTAGGGTGTACGTCTGAACTATGAAGTATGAGCAGTGCTGTCTATTTATCAAATGAAAATCAAATCCTATGAATAATTCCAATTAATTAAACTAAATAAAAAAACAATCAATTTAATTGCAAAAAATACAGAAAATCTCACCCATATCCATGCTCATAATAAGGTAAATTAAAGAGAAGGGTTTCAACACCATCGAAAACCCAAGCATCCTTTTCTTCGCCAGAAACATTAGCGGACTTTGCGGATTCCAACTCATCTTCGGAGACAACTTCCAAATTTGAAAAGTAACGGTCACTGGTTAAAAAAAACAACAATAGATTAGAGAATCATCTAAAAAAACACAACAAAAATCTAAAGAGAAAGAACCTAGACAATCGAGTTTCGGGTTATAATGAGAGAAATATACACACACGCTGAATTTTACTATGCAACCCATCAATACATACTGACCCAAGTAGATATGAGGTGGTGGGCGATTGCAAAAGGCCCCGGAATAAACATGGACGCAAGCTCTCCGCTTTCAGTGTTGAAGTCCGAGGAGAGGTTCTGACTCTGCGTGACCCTCTTGCAAATCTGCTCTACCTTGGCAGCAGCTGTTTTTTGTGCCTTCTCATATTCAGCAAATGTATGAGCTTTCTTGATATCTTCTCTGCTATGCCACTGGGCATCTAAACAACCGCATACATACATTAGAGACGTAAAATAGATTAGATATAAGCTGATATTTGGCTAGTCGCAATCCATTAATCAGGTATAGAACAGTTAATTGTAAGTTCTTACCTAAATAATACTTCCTCTATTTCTCAATACATGAATCGTTATGACTTTCATGATTACCAACGAATAACTTTGACTCTTAATACCTAATTTATTTAAAAAAAGATATATATAAAGTTAATATATTAAAATTATACTGAGATTAACCAAAAAGTTATAATAGTTTTATTTATTTTTACTTATTAGTAATAAAATGAGGTCCTATAAGTAGTCTAAAAAATCATCAAGTAATAAAGGAAGTATTGAGATCCTACTTTAAGTTTCATGTCCAAATGAGGAAGGCAAAAGAAAGATAATATAATAATAGGAGAAAATGTGGCAAACCATACCTTCCAATTCATCCTTATCCACAGTTATTTCAAGAGATCTCGCATAAGCAAAGAAGCCTACCATCAACTGGCAGGGCATGCTGCTTGGCCCAACTGGAAAAGGTCAAAAGTTAAAGTTTGTTAAGCTAAGACAAGAAACTGATTGCAGAAATTTATCTGCTATGATCATTAATTCATTACAGACTTACAGTATGACAACAACAACCAAAAAAAAAGTTAAATAGGAGATGACTTTTACTCAAACATCAGAGCTCCAAATGAACTTACCAGGCCATAGCTGAGAACTATGATATACAACTTCTCCTATCTCAATCCTAGTTTCCTCCGATGTTTCTCTTCTCACTGCTTCTTCCAAACTCTCTCCGGGCTAAGACAAATGTATCACAAATGAGGTATGGAGTCATCATATTTCTGCAGAGTACTAACCTCTAAAAAAATAGCTAAACAACTCCACATTCTAGGTACGAATCTCGGCTGTCTGCTTAAAAGTGCACGGTCATTTTCCTTGTCGATCACGAGCATAATGACTACCTGGTAACAGGACACACAACAGGAAGAATTTAATTCCATTTGTTCAAACAGTGCTTCTGCATTGCATAATGAATGAGAGACTGGCATCAACATACTGGATCAACACGAGGATATATCCTCCTTTTGCACAATTCATTTGAGCACTGCACTCTTTTACCAACTTCCCTGGGAGTTGTTTTACTTCCACAATGCCCGCAAAATCGCGATGTTCAATGCCATTCAAGCAATGCTCTAGCCTAACAAACACCAGATGCAGAAAATACAAGACCATAGTTAGACGGAATTTGAACAAGAGAACAAACTAAGAAGCTAAAGAATCAAGACAACTGATTAGAACTAAAGCGTTGAATTCGTCAGTACTGGATAATTGATTTTGAGCTTATGCACTGAATAAAATGAGGAACAATATCAAATACGTAGTATAAAAGCTAAAGAATTAGAATCGCCAACAGTCACACAAAGTAACTGGACAACTATTTTGGCAAAGCAAAGCTGTAGAACTGCCACTACAATAGAAACTCAAGCACAGTTGAAAGGAACAAACTTGGTCATTGAATGTTTAGATAACAGATTCAATCCCAAGTTTCCAACCCCATAATAAAACAGAGTTGAGAAAGATAACCTTGCATATCTATTTACTTTAAGTCTACATAATTACAACTTCTTGTTTAAATATGAAAGTTAAAGAACTGAATAGCTTCCCGTTTTTTAAAATAAAAAATAAATAAATAAATAAATAAAAAAAATAAATGAATAGCTTATTACATCTTCCCATATAATACTCATGAAATTAATACTTCCCAAATGAGATGTCATTAAATAGAAACCAAGATACATATCTAACTTTAAGATTCAAAATCAACAATACAAATGCTTCATACATGTTTCTCTGTCATTTTTGTGTCCCATTCACCACAATCATGTTAACCAAACCCACCTATGGTACCCGCATAAACAAATTTTACATTTTTAAGCCCCTCTTCTTTAACAATCATTAACATTCCTGGCACAAATCAAACTTATTTCTTCCATCTCCGTTTATAAGAAGATGCTCAAGCTCAACTACGTCTGCCATTCTACCACCAAATAAACAAGAAACCCTAATTAAAACAAAAAATTCAAGAATCAAATCAACAAACCTTCTCAAATTCCCGAGTCTTCTGAAAATCAACAACAGAAGGTCCCGCCATAGAAATCGGCTTCGTCACTCCAAGTTGCTTCTTACAAATATAACTAAATTTAAAATGTCTAGATACAAGTTAGGAATACCATGTACACCCTTCAAGCTCAATGGATTTTGGGTAAGGAGATGATTTAAGAGTAAAAACGTTTCATCAGACATCCAGATTCCAACAAAAAGCCCAAGTAAAAGATAATTTGGTTCAGACTTCAAAACAAAGAGTGTGAAAACCATAATTCTATGCTAGGTTAGTTTGATAATACTTTCAGATTTCAAATTCTGAAGCAGCACAACTATATAAGTTTCCCCAACAGTGTACAAGAATTTGTTTTCTGTAGATTGTATAGTTTAGGGTGTACGTCTGAACTATGAAGTATGAGCAGTGTTGTCTATTTATCAAATGAAAATCAAATCCTATGAATAATTCCAATTAATTAAACTAAAATAAAACAAACGATCAATTTAATTGCAAAAAATACAGAAAATCTCACCCATATCCATGCTCATAATAAGGTAAATTAAATAGAAGGGTTTCAACACCATCGAAAACCCAAGCATCCTTTTCTTCGCTGGAAACATTAGTGGACTTCGCAGATTCCAAATCATCTCCGGCGACAACTTCCGAATTCGAAAAGTAACGGTCACTGGTTAAAAAAAACAACAATAAATTAGAGAATCATCTAAAAAACACAACAAAAATCTAAAGAGAAAGAACCTAGACAATCGAGTTTTGGGTTATAATGAGAGAAATATACACACACGCTTAATTTTACTATGCAACCCATCAATACATACTCCCACATGTATAATACCAAGCATTTGATTTCACATGACCAGTAGCTATTTATACAAATACACATGGCCTGAAACTTCAACCCATAAGCTGTACACTTGAAATTAAACAGGAGAAATGTAGTAGCAGACAATAAATTGAAATATATGAGAGGTCTGCAATATCAAAATTCATGGTTTTATCATCCATTGCTGTACAAACATGTAGACCACACGATGCTATCAGCATCACATTGGAAAGAAGAGTCAACAATCTAGTTCTGCTTGTTGGCTAGTTCAAGGCATTCGTTTCAAATTTAAAGTTCGTTATAATCATAAATAAAAATAGTTATCTTCATATTTGGTAAAAAATCAAATTTAATTATGAACAATCAGTTTTCATCAGTAATAATCAACAAAACTCATAAACACAAGAGGAAGGATTGCAAAGTAAAGTGAACACAACCTCAGAAACATTCTAGTTCGATTCAAAATCCATAGAAACTTGGGTTTTCGGGCTAAGAATACACTGTGAGCCTTGC